ACTGCACTCGGATGGTTCACCTTGGGGAAAAAACATGACAACAATGCATCCTTCGATGACGTAAGAGCACACAGACGCAGTCACAGTGTGCATTCTAATTTGAGTCCCAATGGCTCCAGAGTTGCGCATCAAACTGCGCACATGCCTTAGCATGATTAGACAGCTAAATGCAAGAGAGCTAGGTGAATTGATCGGATCCTGCTCTTTGGCCACTTGGGGGACTGAGGCGCTTACATAAGAGATATCATCTTTCCCATCATTTGACATCATTGTCATTTATTCTCAAACAGTCGTTGGCTTTCACCGCTCTCTGAGCGTACTTAAATGACTTTCATTTACAGGGACACAATTCCTAGATGGTAAAAACTTCGTTCTTTATAGATTTCCCCAATCACAGAATTGTAAGGAGCACACGCGGGTATTAAAATTAAAACTTTAATTTTGTCCAAGCTTAATTTAGCAGTCAAAAAATAAAAAATCCGTCTTGGACAACTTGAAATCTGAGTCATTGAATGGCGCTACAGGTATCGTTGTGTGCAAACACGGCTGACAATCTGAGGCATTGAATGGCGCTACAGGTACCGTTGTGTGCAGACACGGCTGACAATCTGAGTCATTGAATGGCGCTACAGGTATCGTTGTGTGCAAACACGGCTGACAATCTGAGGCATTGAATGGCGCTACAGGTATCGTTGTGTGCAAACACGGCTGACAATCTGAGTCATTGAATGGCGCTACAGGTACCGTTGTGTGCAAACACGGCTGACAATCTGAGTCATTGAATGGCGCTACAGGTACCGTTGTGTGCAAACACGGCTGACAATCTGAGTCATTGAATGGCGCTACAGGTACCGTTGTGTGCAAACACGGCTGACAATCTGAGTCATTGAATGGCGCTACAGGTACCGTTGTGTGCAAACACGGCTGACAATCTGAGTCATTGAATGGCGCTACAGGTACCGTTGTGTGCAAACACGGCTGACAATCTGAGTCATTGAATGGCGCTACAGGTACCGTTGTGTGCAAACACGGCTGACAATCTGAGTCATTGAATGGCGCTACAGGTACCGTTGTGTGCAAACACGGCTGACAGTCTGAGTCATTGAATGGCGCTACAGGTACCGTTGTGTGCAAACACGGCTGACTTTGACTTTAACTCTACAACAACGGCTGCGTTTTAATGTTACTGTCAGCGGCTATGCCTGAACTCAAATAACGCCTGCACTTGAATGCTTTGAGTTGCACTTGAATCAAAACGTTTCGAGATGTATCACAAAGATATACTACAAGGACAATGAGAGTCAGCTTACACGTGGGGAGAGCTGCTCTTACCTAAATAAAAAGGTAGCGGCTGTCGTGTGTGTGTGTGTGTTAATGACTAATAAGTGTGTGGCATGTGTGTGCTGCTCATGGTGGCTTCACACAGTGCAATCATACTCTCCCCTGACGTTGTTTATATGAGTCGGTGGGAATGCACATGCCGTGACATCATGCACTGAGCCCAGTCATTCTATGACGTTGTCAGCAATTGGGTCCCCCCTCCCTCCAATTTGCCTCAGTCTTTTTTTTTAATGAGACTTTCTTTCTGCCCAGAGATCAGTCAAGATGGTAGCCATCAAGTTTTATTTCGCCACGTGACCCTCTCGCCACGCTTGATCGCGTTCTACCTCGTGCTGACCTGCAAGGTCGCATCTGAGGTGATGACAAATAGTTACAGCTCCGGTAGGCAGGGTTGAGTGAGAGGGGGACTGGGGAGGTGAGAGGGGGACTGGGGAGGTGAGAGGGGGACTGGGGAGGTGAGAGGGGGACTGGGGAGGTGAGTGATGGGGCGATTAGAAAAGGTGATTTTACAAAAATCAACCCCACCCCTTGGCTTACAATAACCAGCGGTCCTAACTGTGGGACTGTGGGGTGGGCTGGAAAGGGGACGGGGAGGGGGGGCTTGTGGCAAGACATGTCGGCTATTAGATCGGACCAATGGACGGGAAGAGACCTGGGGTACAAAATGCCCCATTGTTTTATTTCTACTTATTAGTTTTATGCCAGGGTCAGTCACTACACCAGGGATTTTGTCAGCAGTTGTTTTAAAAATCAAAACAAACAAAACCTATAGTGCCTCACAACCCTTCCGTCCAAACTTTCTTTGAAATCTTTGCTCTCTGCTTTTTTTCCCCTCTCTTATAAAGATTCTTTTAATACATTTTTTTTTAAAAAGTTTTAATCCTAAATATTGATGTTGAAACTTAAACTGGATTTGTGAATTAAAAGATAAACACCCATTATATAAGTTTGAACCAGACGACGCCAGTCAAATCTGCCAGCCAACCAGCCAAGTCTGCCAGCCAGGCCAGTCAAATCTGCCAGCCAGCCAAATCTGCCAGCCAGGCCAGTCAAATCTGACAGCCAGCCAGTCAAATCTGCCAGCCAAGCCAGCCAAATCTGACAGCCAGGCCAGTCAAATCTGCCAGCCAGGCCAGTCAAATCTGCCAGCCAGCCAGCCAAATCTGACATAATTCATTGAACTGAAATAAATTTTAGCTGGAAGGAACAAAAACAGATCTGGTTCACAAAGCCAACAGAAAGTTTAAAACTTGATGTCTAAATATTCACTATGCAATGTATGATGTTTAGAAAAGTTAGTTTGTCCACTCTATCAAGCTCAGTCTCATAGCAAAACATTTTATTAAGGCCACTTACTAAAAATGTATCATTTACTTGTATGAAACATTCACAGACAATATTCCTTCAACAAGCAAATGGATATTTTTTTTTGGGGGGGGGGGGGGGGGTCCCCCTTTCCTCAAGGGGGAATCTACTCATGATGTATACAGTGTATAGTGGACATCCAATGGCATATCAGATGTTTGCCCAAAAACAAACTTGAATATTTGACTTCACTAATCATTGTTTGACATTATAAATAATTGTTTAAATGTTTAACATAGCAAAATGATTGTTTGACATAAACAAGAAAAAGAAAAACTGTTTCAATACAAAAGTTTAGCAGAACAAATAACTGGCTTCACAATTAATTGATAGAAATAACAAATGAATGGCTTCACTGGATACCGTTAATGTGTCTTGCTTTGGCGTCAATGGTTACTACAGCTAAAGAAAGGGCTCCCTTTCAAGTGGTTTAAATAGCTATACAGTTAATGAGAAAGGCTTTGGGGTCAATGGTAACTACAGCTTAAGAAAGGGCTCCCTTTCAATTGGTTTAAATCAGGCATGCACAACATAATGTGCCCCGCGAGCACCCTCTTGGCGGCCCGCGAAATAATGAAATATTCTTAATTATTTTCTTAATAGCTCCCCCCCCCCCCCCCCCCCCGTCCTATTATCTTTCGGCCCGCACAAGTTTTTCATAAAGTATTATGGCCTGCACAAGGTTTTAATAAAGTATTACAGCCCGCCATACATTTTGAGTTGTGCAGGCCTGGTTTAAATAGATATACTAGTTAATGAGAAAGGTTCCATATAGAAATGGGTTCAATTATATTATAGATAATGAGAAGGGGTTTCATATAGAAAAGGGTTCAATAGATATATTAGTTAATTAGAAAGGCCCCATACAGAATTGGGCTCAATAGATAGTGAACTGTACAGAAATTGAGAGTTAACTGTTGGATAGCTATAGCTTTAGGGTGTTGGGTGGCTGAGTGTTCTAAACTGTGTCAATCCCAAGCTTGTGGCCTGGAGTTCAAGCCTAGACAAGCTAAAACACCACCGGCACCCTGAGTGGATGGGACCAAGCTTGTGGCCTGGAGTTCAAGCCTAGACAAGCTAAAACAACACCGGCACCCTGGGTGGATGGGACCAGTGATCCCTGACAACACCTGTGATCTAAAATGCATAAAGAGCACAAAGTGAAGGACGCAAAAAGACACAGCTGGGCATCTGCTGCATCCTGGTCTATTTTCAGTCATTGGATCAAATAGGTCTGAGAGAGTGAGGCTGACAATGCGGGTAACGTCTCCCTCACTTTCAACAAGCCAAGTCATCACCCAGTCTAGCCGTTGGATCAGATAGACAAGGATGAGGAGAGTGAGACTGAGTAACTCTCTCTCACTTTAAACAAGCCAAGTCATCACCCAGTCTAGCCGTTGGATCAGATAGACAAGGATGAGGAGAGTGAGACTGAGTAACTCTCTCTCACTTTAAACAAGCCAAGTCATCACCCAGAGTTGCCGTTGGATCAGATAGACAAGGATGAGGAGAGTGAGACTGAGTAACTCTCTCTCACTTTAAACACGCCAAGTCATCTGCTCATGGGAAGGGTGAACAACAAAATTAAAAGCTTTAGCTACCATTTTAATGCCAAGGTTAAAGCACTGTCCTCATCTATCCATCAATTCATCGTTTTATGGATAGCTTTATGTGGGTTTTTCCAACAATTTTATTGGCATGCTCTACTTTCTGTTGCTTGAATAATTCATAAGTCATAATAGATGACTCCATCGGAGACTTCCTCATGAGGTAAACTTTTACGTTTTGTTTATTTTCAAACACCTTGGACATACGTCGCATAAATTACTATATATTAATTAAATAATTCCAAGTAAGTTTGAATTTCTCCCTTCTAAACAAATTTATTTTCATAATTCATAACTTACGTGAAAAACTTTACTGAAAAAAAAAAATAAGAGAAAGAATAGATTAGATAAATTTCAATTATATGTGCATAGGGGAATAAAGTTAATTTTGAATGCTTGGTTTGGGTACTTTATTAAAAATTGATATTTTTTGGAGTAAATACCTAAATTTATAGATAGATACTTTTTAGATCAGTTTGGTTTAGAATTTAGCACAAGAGATTTCTCCTCAGTTTGATTTTAAAATATGGTTCCATAATTTTGCATAAAAATTTGTCAAGAATATGATTTGGAATTTGCAGTTAAACTGGAAATTTATGGATGGTTTGTTGAAAAAAAAAATTGTTATTTATCTATATGTCATTGATTAAGTGTTAGATGACAAATTGTGATAAAGAAATCTTGCAGTTACTTACAAGTTGGGAATCCCTTAATGTTGAACTTCTCAGCCAAGTCTTTCTCTACTGTAGCATCGACAACTCCAAGTACTCCCAACTGAGGACACATTATGTAACAAAGATTATTGTCAGAGGTAAATGATGATGAAACATCAAGCTAAAAGGGCAGATTTTTATTACAGCAACCCAACAGAGGTGCAAACTGGAAAGCACATTGACAGGATCCAATGCTAATGACAATCTAGAAAAATTTTAGATGTAAAAGATGTGACTTACCCCTTCCTTCTGGACTATTTCTGCAGCTTCTGCAAAGTCTGGTTTCATCTGCTTACAATGGCCACACCCTGTTAAACGGAAAGATGAGTCTTTAAAACCTCGGAAATACAAGATAACGCTTAAAGAAACATCTTGGTAACATCTTTTGATTATTATTAATTTTGGGTAGTTAAAAGAAATTCATGTCAGGTATCTGTTGATGTCCAAGGGGTGGACTGTGACAAGATGGGATTTTTAAAAAATGGCCAAGTACAAAATGTAATGGTCGACTGTTTTCTGACAAACACTGAACTTACATGGGGCATAGAACATGACCAGAACTTGGACGTTGTCTGCTATGACAGAGTCGATGTTGGCTGACGTCAGGAAGACAAGACTTTTGTAGCCAGGGAAGGCTTTCCACTGATCCTCCAAGGACTCAGCTGGTGGGGGGCTCGGTGTAGGGGCTGGGTTTTGGGGGTCATTCATGAAGGTGATGAAATCAAGTTCCTGGAGATACAGACAAGCACACTAGTAGATCTGACACATGTTGATACAGACAAGCACACTAGCAGATCTGCCACATGTTGCTACAGACAAGCAGACTAGTAGATCTACCACATACTGATATACATAATTTCAATAGTAGATCTGCTACGCATCAAATATTGATTTATCAAACAATAAAGGGATAGCTTAAGCATAATAGAAGAGTACTACATTAAAACTATTGCTGTATAAAACAAGAATTGAAAGAATGTAACCAAATGTGTGTACCTCTCTTCCACCCATGTATTTCTGGGAGTTCTTGCCATAGTTGAAATATTTGAATGTTGGATAGCCCTTGACATCATGAGTGCTGCAGGTCCCTGTCTGAACAGTGCAGTCAACAGCAGCAAATGCCACCTGAACATATCAGTAAAAATGGAGACCAATCAGATCGGACGACACAAAGAGGTTCAATAACTTTCAATTCAACTGTATCACACAATAGCTATGTTAAAGTTCATTTATGTTCCAAATATATGAAACAACCTACTATTGCAAACTTCAATGCCCTTATAACACTAATCAGATTATAAAAACCAATCGTTCTCCTAATCCTAATCATCCACAGACACTAATCAAACCATAAAAAAAAGTTATTCTCCTAATCATCCACTGACACTAATCCATCTGATAAAACACAATAATTATTGGAATTCATCCTCACACTCACAGACTCATCTGGTACGAACTAGTCATTCTGTCATGGATTCATCAGATACTAATCCTCAGACTGATTCTTCTGGTAACAACTAGTCATTCTGTCATGGATTCATCAAACATTGATCTTCCTGATAAAAATCGGTCGCTCTCTAGCTCATCCCATTAAACAAATACATCTATTAAAAAAACTCTTCTTCTTCTTCTTCTATATATTAAGGGCCCACGATCAATTTATGGTTCATTCTTGCTCCTATGCATGTAGGTGGGATTTCCAGTACTTCTGTGCCTGGTGTTGATGAGGATATTTCACTGGTTGCAAGGGGTACTCAGCGAGGGTATCATGAACTGGGGCTTTCAAGGCTTGAGGCAATAGACGCAAATGTGTCAGGTGTTGTCGCCTCAACTGTTCCCTTTGCAAGCTTGTTCCAGTCCCTGATTGGAATGAGCGATTCCTGTAATGGCTTCTTGCTGGTATGAGCCGGAACTGCCTGTCATGGCCTCATCACTGTCTATGGGAGAGAGGAACGAGTTTCTATTTAATGCTGGAGCAGAGGACCAGCCCATTATTTATCTTGTACATCATGGAGAGCCTGGATAGTCGTCGTTATTCCTCCAATGATGACCAGCCCAGTGTTTCCAGCATGCTGCCAACACTAGAGGTATTCCTGAAGCGGTTCAGGATAAAGCGTGCTGCCCGGTCGCTGGACCGCCTCCAACCTGTCATTTTTTTGGGTAAATGGATCCCAGACTGAAGATGCAAAATCTAAAAGCGGCCGGACAAAGGCTTTATAGCCTTTTTCTTTCACACTGGAGTTGCCGATCTTTAGATTTCGCCTTAAGAACCCTAGGGTCTTGTTTAGGGGTGTGCCGGAATCCGGTCTAGAATCCGCTTCCGCCGGATTTTGCACTATCCGGTGAAATCCGGTTCCGCCGGATTTACATGTATCCGGAACAACCGCAATCCGGAATATACCGGATTTCGGAATTTGCCAGATTTTGTGACTCACCGGATCATAATCTGAAATAAAAGTAATTCTCTTTCCCGAATTCCACACGATCACGATACATTAATCGATTGTTTCGAGCGTTGAGCTTGTTTAATGTTTAATATTCAGTACATACCAGAGGCTAGAGTCAGCACCGCTAATAGTGGCCAATAGTGTAGGGACTTTGATAAGAAAATTTAAACTTTTTGTAAAAATAAACCAATGGCATAGTTGAAAAGATGTAATTTTTTAAAGAATTATAACACCAANAACCGATTGAGATCCTGTTGAAGTTGGTCCTGGTCGGATCTGTTGGCCATCGTTCTATATACCACTGTGTCATCTGCCAACAGTCTTTCTTGGGATGTCAGTTTCTCGGGTAGGTCATTTTTTTAATTCCCCCCCCCCCGACAATATCACTTACTGTTATGTTTTTAAAATGTTGTTATTTCCAACAATAAACATTCACATAAATATAATACATACAAGTCCTCAATAATGTTGACTCTATGCTTGTCTCGGGAACACACTGTCCATACACACTGTCTACAGGTCCAGCGCATGCGTGCCGGTTGACCCGGTTGGCTGTCTGGACGGTATAGTCCGCTAGTCCAACTATAACACTTACCTTTGGATCATCTTTAAATTTATCAGCTGCTGCCATGAACTCAGGCTTTGCCTTTTTACAGTGACCACACCCTAAAGAAATTATATAGATATTTATAATGATAAATATTTATATAAGATTATGACTATGACAACACCCTTAAAAGATTTTACAGCAATAAATGTTGAAGTATTTAACCATCTAGTTTAAACACTTTTTGTTACACTTAAAACAGAGACCACATCAACTTTGTTTCAAATGCTCTTGTTACAAAGTTCACCCAAAATTTAAACCCATCATATAGGGGTTTTTACCTTTTTTTGAACTCAGAAACACGCAAAGTCTGATTATAAAAATACGGTAACAAACAATTCAATTATTAAGAAAAGCACCAACTACTTCATTGAAGGATTTTATATGAACAATTACATTTCTAAACAAAGAGCTACACTGAGATCTTCGAACAAATGCGTGTTATTTTTAATTGTTGTTTAATAAGTAAACGCCACCCCCCCACCACCACCCCATCCTTGTAAAGCTTGTTTCTATCTATTCTTATTCATTATATCAAAATCTTTCAAAAGACTATGAACCTTGTCAACTGCTGCTCTACACTATAATAAGTTTGCAACAACACATATTATATGTAGCGCAGAAACTAAAATATATGATGAAATATATTTCACATTTAAAAGCAAGACAACATAGCTTCACAATGAAGATGAAATTGTTATTAAGTAACAATAACTTGTATAATGAGGGGGGGGGGGGGGGGGGGGGGGTGTGGGGTGTCAAATACTCCGCCTGGTCTTATATCTTATGATGATGGCAAATATTCCGATGTCTAATATTCCAATGGCAAATCTTCCTTGGTCACAACACGGACTAGTGTGATTCAATACACTAAGAGGTTCATAGTACATTATGGGTCTATTTTCACAGAACTAAAACATCCACTTGGTAGATACAACGAAGCTGATACATAAAATACATCTGGCAGAAAAATATTATCCTCAGGCAAAAGCCCCACAGCGAATATAACCAAAATACTATCTCTCTCTGTCTAGCTCACTCTCACTCTGTCTAGCTTACTCTCTCTCTCTAGATCTCTCTGACGCTCAAAATCGTTGTCTCCCTTATCACCCAAAATCCACGCACCCGTACTTGATATGCCAAGAGTTCACACTCGTTCACTTAACCCAATTATCACAAATCACAATACACACCATACCTCTGATTTCATGACCTTGACAGGAGGAGATATCAATATTGGTTGTTACATGATGCAATGAATTACACAAGCCAATGCTTACATGGGACAATGAATTGCAGAACCAATGCTTACATGGGGCATAGAACATGACAAGGCAATGCTTACATGGGACAATGAATTGCAGAACCAATGCTTACATGGGGCATAGAACATGACAAGGCAATGCTTACATGGGGCATAGAACATGACAAGGCAATGCTTACATGGGGCATAGAACATGACAAGGCAATGCTTCTTCTTCTTGAGAAATGTTTTGAAGGTGTCATCATTGAGGTGAACCACTTCACTGTCTACCTCCTCCCACTTGGCCTCAGGGGGTGGAGGGGGAGGGGGTTCTTTGGGGCTGAAAGGGAAGGAAACTTGTCAAACTGAGGTCAAGTTTGTTATTTTTGATCTAATATCAGTTTAAGCACTCTTACCCTGGATCACATTAAGATTTTTCAATATTCCTCAAATGAAGGAGCTGGTGATTTTTCTTTGTTCAACATAGAAGGAATTTATTAATTTTAATTTTTTTTAAATGTTATCAATGCTTTTTTTAAAGTTTGATATTAAAAATGTAGAAACTTTTTTTTCAAAAGACACATTTCAGTGTGGCAGAAAAGTAGGACAACAGCTGACTTAACACTCGCATGCTCTGTTGGTTGTGGTGGCAATTAAAAAAAAAAAATTAAATAAACAAATACTGAACTTCACTTATTTATAAAGATGCTTCACATGGAATTGCACTCACAGACACATTTCAAAGAATCACTTTTTGTTTTCTAAAAGTACCCAAACAGCAACTCACTCTTTCATGAACTCAATGATTTGGTCTTTGTCTCTTTGGTTGACTTCAAAAGCAAACTCTCCATCCCTGGCAATTAAAAAAATACATTAGAGGACAATGTCAGCAAACAATGAAGAGCACACAACTTGCAGGCATGCACCACAAATAAGTTGATACCTTCTTGTTTAAATTTTTTTTTAATTAAATGCTCAAGAGAACAAGGGGATGGAGTTATCTGAAAATATAAATTTATATGCAAAAAATCAACTTGATAGATTTGTGATCTAACGTTTAAAATGGAAAATCAAGATTAATTAGTTCTGAGACAAAAATGGACACATCATTAAGTGATACAATTCATAACTAATTTATTCACTATTTTACGCACTGACTTGTATTGGGAGAAATTAATCTCCTATTTTATTTTTAATTGGCTCGTTGTAAGCAGTGCCTAACAAAGGAAGATACCATTGAATCAACAATATTAAAGATACGACCCAAAACAGTTTCTAGTTACAATTAATAAAATTTATTATGTCTTAAGATAATTACAAAAGAAAATATAATATAATTACAATCTTCAACTTACAGTATGGTAGATCTTGTACCGGTACACAGTTAACACAGTTAGAATAATGTGCCAATAAATAATGCGAAATAAACACATATAAGCTCACAAATACACAAAGAATAAAACACGCCTCGTAATGTTAAGAAAATTTATCTGAAAATCTCCCTCTGTAGCTCTAGCTCCATTTGTTTGAGCTCTCGTTCTTTATCTAGCTCCAGCTGTTTAAGCTCACGTTCTTTTTCTTCTTTCTCTCTCTGAGCTTCAAGCTCCAGCTTTCTAAGCTCTCGTTCTTTTTCTTCTTTCTCTCTCTGAGCTTCAAGCTCCAGCTTTCTAAGCTCTCGTTCTTTATCTAGCTCCAGCTGTTTGAGCTTTAGTTGGAGCTCCATACTTGGATCAGTCGGTTGTGTGACTGAGGCCAGTTCATCTTCAGATAACAACTACAATAAGTGGAAGTGACTCACCTGAAATACCTCACTTTTGGAGCCAACATGAAAAAGAAAAAGAGAGAACCACTGATTAGTTGAAGGTAATTTCTGGTGTTAAATTATTCATCAAATCACTGTCAAAACCTACTTTTTTGCAATTCCATGTTTAAAGAAATTAATTTTCCCATGTTATTTTGAATGTTGTATTATGTGGGTGATGACGTGGCCCTTGTAAATTAAAACATGTACAGTAAAATGTCATACTTGCCACTAATGTTATCTCTATTCTAGGCAATTCAACTAACAGTTTAAAAATTAAATTAGACGTCATTATGTGCGGAAAAATTGCATTCATGCGACAGTTCCTTACACTTAAAGATCCAGCAATAAAATATTACGTTATCGGTTCCCGAAAGGCACAGGTATCTATTAATTTCAAACTTATCTTATATACTACTACTTTACACAGTATGTTCATTTTCTTGCATGTAATTCAAGAAATTTATGGATTAGATTGACATATAAGAGATTTTTTTTAAATACCTAAGTAAGGTTAATAAATACTTATGTAAACTGTAACTACAAAGTTCAGGTCACAAACATTGAAACATTTGGACTGCAGACAACATCACATACCACTTATGTAACATTTCGTTAACATAATTTTCTGTTTTTATTCAGCAAAAGTTATTAAGATAAATTTGATCTATAAGTAGTGATTACCAAACTTGTAAGTTAAAATGTCAAAAAATACCTTTAAAGATGAGTTTAATAACCAGATGTGATATATTTTAAATAAATAAGCAAGAAATGAAAGTACCATTTGAAAAGCCCCAAAAATGTATCTCACACACAATAAAATCTCAAATCAAAACTAGCTTACTGGAATCATTTTGAGAGCGCTGAAATTTTAAAGAAATCATAACTTAATGGGCTAGAAGATTCCAATTTCATTCTTCCTTTGCTGCATCATTTGTACATCAAGATTGTCTTTGAGAAAGTCCCTACTTAATTGAAATTGCGCATGTAGCTATTTTAAATAAATAAGCCCCCACAAATTTTTGGGCATGTCACAGAGCATTAGCTTCTGTTTTCATTATTAAATATGTGGCAAATGTAAGCAGACAGCTCTAATCAAAATAAGCTTGTACACCTGAAATTACCTTATACATTAACATGTGTCAGACTTTTTTATTGCCTTTAAGATTTCATAGTTGCACTAGGAGGACAACCTTGTCCTTCTTGAAGTACATTCTTTTAACTAGTAAAATGTAGTAACAAATTTCAGCACACTAATTTGATATTGACTAAATGTAGCATGTAAATTATAAAGAAGATAAACAGTTCAATATCTGAGGTATGCTTGTAAAGAATAGCAGTGTTAATTGAAATAAATTGTTCTGATGTTTAGTAACTAATTGAAGTGAAGCCATAAAGTCTATCTAGTTTTAAAGAAGACCAAAGCAATGATTTATCTTTGAAGATTAGAAAGAAGGAAATGGAAGAGGGCACAGAAGCTAGTCAGTGAGAACAAGACTGGCCATGGATAAAAAAATTAGCATCACTTTAAAATATTACAAATTCGTGGATCATTCCACAAAAACTTAACATTGAGAAAAAAAAAAAAAAAATGAGTTATATTTTTAAACAATTTATTTAAGTGATGAAGATGATGTTAGCCCAACATTAAGATCTCATGCGGTCGTTCCATTATTGGACTTGTGCTCAAGGATCTAGACATCTTTTCATTTGACCTATTCAATAAACCCATACAATTCCCAACAGCTGATTTAAAAAAAGAAGCATTGGATTATAAGATGAGTAATTTTTAGTCACTTACTCGGTAAAATTACATCCACATTTTACTGCTGGCTCCTTGAGTGGAGGATTTATAATTTTATTTAAATTGATACAAGTTTAAAGAAATGTAAAATAAAAGTTTTACACTCATTCCCCCCAAAAAAATGGTGATTGAATATATTACTAAGTAAGCTTAAACAAAAGAAATAAAGACAAAACTTGCCAATGAGAAACAATATTACTATAATCTTCCAATTTAAGTCAGTCCGGTTTTTTAAGACAAATAATATTTAGGTTGGTGGGTTAGCTGCACACCGTATTTGTAATTTAAACCCCCCCCCCCCCCCCCCACTTCAAGAAATGATCTAGGTACATACAGCTAGTGCTCGACTTATGACCATGATTGGATCCGACAGACCGGTCGTAACACGATTTGGTCGTAAGTTGAGTACGCTATGTGTACAGTAATGTGAAGTGATGTTTTAGAAATATTTAATTTAAATTATTTCATAAATTTCTTTTATTGTTGTTATAAATCATAATTTTTTATGTTCATTTTATGCCATTTGTATAATCTCTAAACCATTTTGTTTCTTATTTTTACATCGTCAGGTTTAAGAAAAACACTGCAGTAACTGTAAATGTACAACTGGTTTAATATTTGCAAAACATACAATATACAGGTGTGGAAAATACTATAGGAAACATTTTCCCAATTGCAAAACATATTAAATTGTCATCATCATTGAAATATATAAACATGTACAAAATATTTTATTGACCACTGGTGCTCGGCTGCAGATCATTAATGTCGTCATCTAAAATCTAATATGGCTAGTGATTGTGGTCGTAAAGTCGAATGGTCGTAAGTTGCATAGGTCGTAAGTTGAGCACTTGCTGTATAAAGACTGATGATTAAAAGCAGAGCTCAGCCATAATTTTACACATGGGGCACGCTATAGGCCTTTCCAAGAATTAGGCGACACACAGCAAGTAAAAACATGCAAAAATATATTAAATAACAAAATTTAGCTAACATTCATGCTTGTAATGCTAAAAGTTATATTATTACACTACAGTGCATTGTTTCATATTAAAATTTCTGTTATTGCAAAGTTTGACAACTGGTCAACATTTTTATTTTGTTAGCTATTGTTTTTTTTATTTTCCTTCATATACTTTGTGCTTTTTCTCCTCTTGGGGGTATTTTGCTTGGCACACCTGACATAATCTTGCGTGCATTGGTGGCGTAGCTCTGAATTTAAAGGATAGCCTTATACCATCAGGCAGTATAAATCAGCAGTCACATGTCTGCCCCTATTCAGAAACTAATATAAAGTACCTTTGATTGATAGGTTGATTTGCATACTGTGTGTCTTTCCCTAAGCAAATCACTCATACCTGTGGGGAATCCTTTGACGTTGTTATCCTGGGCCAGTTTCTTCTCTTTGGTGGCATCCACAGCGGCTAGTACACCAACAATCTGTTTGGAGAGATCACTTAATGTTCATAATTATATCTTAGGTGGAACTGGTTTAAAATAAGATAAATTGTAACCATTTGTTTTTAAAGTTTTATTTCAAACCTATAAGAGAGCCGTCCTTTTAATGAATGCAAGGTCTTTCTATTCCGATCAATAAAGTCTCTCGACAACCAAGCATATTTAACCACACACACAAACAAAAGAGAGGATTGAAAAATAAGTATCTCTTTCAAAAAAATTATTAAAATATATGCAGCCATTAAAACAATGATTCAGCAAAAAATTGGTTTGCATTCATTCAATTTATTCAAAATGCAAGAACTTTAACCCCATGTTCATTCAAAATAGGAATCTTTCAAAATTTGATTTTTTTTCTTCCTTTCCCAATAAAGGACCTCAGCTTAAGAACAATTCACAGCGATTACAATTTCTTTTTTTTTTTTTTATAAACAAAATTAAATTAGTTGTCCAATTTGAAAACTTTTAGTTCAGCGTTAATTCATTAGAAACTTTTGTCATTAGCAGTTACTTCAAATCTTCAGTTTGGTGTTGTATTAAGATGATGTGACTGACTGACATTCTCATTATAAATATTTATAAATAAATATTTATTTTTGTTGTAAATCATAAAGTATTGTACTTAATGTTTCACTACTGCAACTATAAATAAACTGAGCCATGCAGTAGTGACAGCAAAAACGCAAAATCTATTTTTGGAATTTATATTACAAACTCAAAGTTTAAGCTACTGAAAGAAATATTTTGTACATGTATAGTATTTATATATAATTTGTTTAGTATTTATATATACAAAATAAAATGATGGGCAGTGGCTCTATCTGAGACAATAACATGAGAATGCACAGCCAGTCAGGATGTAGACAAAATATAATTCATAAAATAAAAAACTCACCCCTTCATCTTTCAAGGCCTTGGCAGCCTCTGTGTAGCCTGGCTTCATGTGTTTACAGTGACCACACCCTGTAGATTATCAAACAGATTATAGGATATACCAATCATATCACTTACTTACATTATGGCCTCTACTTCAGGTGTTTAAAGCAATTTATTTTCAGGCCATAATGTGAACAAAACTTTCTGAAATAAATAAATTAACCCCGCTGTAATTTCATTCCTTAAGATACATTAGATATACTTTATAACATAAAATACACCAAGGGCATTCAATTTAGCAATGAGAAACCAGGCACATAGAAAACCTTGGCTAACAGACTAAAAGTATATAAAAGACCTATGTTTAAAGTTTAGAAAAGTCTCTATCCCCCCACCCCCACTTTAACTAGCTACTACATATAGAAATTATTGGTAGGGTGCCGAAAATAAATAGAAAACCCCTGATTTGTGCTTATGTCGGGAAGTTTTTATTTTCTTTGAGGGAAATTGAAAACGATAGAAAGTCATTTAAGAAATCATTTAAAGACATTTTTTCTTTAAATAGGTACTAGGACATTGGAGCGCTGTGAGCATGCTAAAATAGCATTGACACAAGTGCTATAAAAGTATTCAATCAATCAATCAAATGTATCAACAAATTTAAACATAAAGGGTGAAAGCCAAAATTAATGCAAGTTTTTTGTTCAAGTGAAATGAATGTTTGAGATTATAATTTTTTGCATTTTTGTCCTGCAGTGCCCCAGTTTTGACATAAATGTGTGACCATTCACAAAACAGGACTGTGGGAAAACTCACATGGGGCATAAAACATAACAAGAACAGATGGGTTCTGTTTAATAAAGTCTTGAAAGGTGTCATCTGTCAGGTGAACCACCTCACTCTCCTCATCGGCCCACTCTGCCTCCTTTTCCTTCTCTTTTACCTCCTGGGGGCTGCAATACAAATCAGTAGCATGTATAAAATGAGGCATTATTGTGGTCAGCAATAGTTAGTGTATAGTATTAGATGGTGGCTAATCATAGCTTTAGCTTATAAAATATTTTATTAATTTATAGATCCTTCATATTTGACAATTACAAAAACTTGTGGTTTACTAAATTTATGTTATTACTTCCCAGAGTCCTGGAACTGCTCTCACTTAGAAAATAAAATCTTGATACCAATAATATTAATAATATAGGCAAATGTAGACCAACTTTTTGAGACATCATAGGAGCTTATCCTCCCCAGTTTGAAGGCTACTGGTTTTAATAATTCTGACAAATAAATTCAATGAACCATCCAAAGCTATTCCAAAGGTATAACTTACTTGTTCAGCCATGCTATTATGCCTGCTTTGTTGTTTTCACCACCATACTTGTATTTAACTTGACCTTTGCTAAGAAAAATTTAATAAATACTGAATTATTTTTTAAACTATGTAGTAACACAAATTATATTTAACTTCACACACTTGTATGAAAACATATCTAAGCATACAGCTTCAGCCAATTAAGTTTTATGAGAAGTTGCCATTGATCTTTTTTCTCCTTAGAGGCATCTTCATCACTTTTTCCTTAAGAGCAGCGATTCTGCTGGGCTGACCTGGCCATTCATACAAGCGTAATAAATATAGAACATTAACAGCCTCTTAAATACAACCCTTACTGTTCATTCAAGATAATTACTTCATGATGAAGACAAAAAATTATTCAACATTAACAACACTACAGCAGCTCAGCAAGCACATGAATCAATACAATAAAAGCCTCACACAAAGTAGTAGATTGTGGGAAATCCAGTGATGTTGTACTGCACACGTAATGACATCATCGGCGGTTTATCAACATCTATACCCACCAGAGTCTGGGGACAAAGCAATAACTCTTTTATCACCCTACATTGTGTTCAAGTTGGGAATGCTCCCTAAAAAATGAAAAGTTTGAAATACCCCGAAAGGGGATCCTAATGGTATAAAAAAAGTCTATGGTTTGTTCTGGTCAGTGCAGTTCTGTACAAAGAATTTCTAGGTAAGGTAAAACCCACAGATCAATTTTCTTTTTTTAAATATGACATCTAATAATGTTGTTAATACTGGGTCTTGTCATGGTCAAGCAAATTTGCAATAATTCAAGGACCACTGACTCATAATTGAGAAGTCTCATTCTGAATATTTACTGCCAATAACAGTGTCATTGAAGTTGGTAAAGACTGAATCACAAGGAGTAAGAGGCAACGGAAAATGCAGTCAGAAAGATACAGCTTCTATATCATTCTTAAAAGTTGAAATAATATAATTACAAAGCTCTCTTAAAAGTTGCTCATAATTTCAATTGCTAACAATACTTTAATAAAAACATTTTTGTATTTGATATAAATTACTAATGGTATTACTCCTTTTGTCATTATAAATTTGCAAAATTCAGAAAAAAAGAAGAAAAAAAAACTTTTTGTACGTCACCAAAGGTAGTTTTGAAACCACTGAATTGTTTTACAGGTAATTATTTTTTTATTTAAATCCTACATTTAGTTAATTATTTACTTACAAACTGATTTTTTAACTCTGTAGCAGCTCCAGCAAAATCTGGTTTTAATCTCTTACAAAATCCACACCCTGCATGAAAAAAAATGGCATTTTTACCTCACTTGATAAATGGTATACATGATATATATATATATATATCATTGTTTAGTAGTGTGTCCAACCAGTAATGAAACTTTAAGCAAAAACTATCTCTGAAATTGCAATTCCTATAATAGTGGACAAGTTAGTGATTTTTTTCTCTCTCTTTTTTTTATAAAGGTTAAGTAATTAATGAGCCATGCCAGACATTGATTTTTTATGTATGGTTCTACTTACAGGGTGCATAAAACATAACTAAAAGGGGATTCTTTTCCTTTTTCAATAGCTTGTTAAAACTCTGAAAAGTTATTTTTAAAGAAAGGTGTTAAGCAGGGTTCCTCTTAACGAAATAAAAACGCATTTTTTTTTTAAAATTTTATCAATTAAGAAAGTTATAACTTATTTTTTTTTTAAATAACATGAAATAAAAATCAGCAGTTTTCAACGGTTTTTAAAAAATCTTAACTCACAGAAACTAATTTTAAAAATTCTACCATATAAATATTTTTTTCATTTAGCCTGATTTGGTGAGAAGAATCATCATCCTTGCAAATTAATATTATTATTATTTAACATCAAATTTGATGGATTACATCACAGTTTCCATCATCTTTCTCAGCAGTCATGATTACCTACAAATCTGTTGTATTTTTCATTGACTATTACAAAACTGAACCAATTACAAAACAGTTGAAAACTGCTGATACAGAATAATGTTGAATTTTTTTTTTTTTTTTTTTAATTTTAATTTCCTCTTTTTTAAAATAAAAAACATTATAAAAAAACAATAAACGTAAATTTATTATAATGAAATAATTTAATTCATTGACTATTACAAAACTGAACCAATTACAAAACAGTTGAAAACTGCTGATACAGAATAATGTTGAATTTTTTTTTTTTTTTTTTAATTTTAATTGCCTCTTTTTTAAAATAAAAAACATTATAAAGAAACAATACACGTAAATTTATTATAATGAAATAATTTACATTTGTTCAAACTGAGAAAAGATCACTGACAAATAATGATTTACCGTATTTCTGAGTATTAAAGACGCATCGTATACAAAGTTTTACGAAACTCGCACCCAGAGTGCATCTTATATATGGATGCGTCTTAAAATATTTTTTGCACAAATCACCAAAACCCACATCTTTTATATGGGTGCATCTTATATGTGCAAAAATATGGTAAGTACTTTTAACACAAACGAATGGTACGGTGTGTGATATTGAAGGACGATTATTGCAGTCAATATTCACGTTTCACGATTTTCATTCCTAGTTGTAAAAACAATTGGATAAGTGTTCAGTAATTACCATGTGTACTAATTCAATGCAGGCCAGTTTAAATTTAAAATCCTTACGTTTCAATGTTTTGTATATCGTAATTATTGCAGATCTAAGTTAAGTCGGAGTAAATGTTTTAAATTTATATAATACAGTATGTTTAAATAGTTTTGGCGTTTATTGTTGCTAGAATCTGATACCAGGTACTCAACCCATTCGCTATTGGCCTGGCGACAGATAAGAATAAATAATAATCGTTGCGGTCCTGCCTCAGACAATTCTTTGATCTACCGGTAAACTAAAAATGGTAATGAGGCCTTGTTTACATCCGACAGGTAATGAAACATTGGACACATTTTCATTTACAATAAAGGAAAGGAAAACGATATGAATTGCTCACTGCAGCAGATGGCTAGACCATGTGCGTCTTTACACAAATCGTCAAAACCTGCATCATATATATGGGGACGTCTTATGCAAATTATGTTTAACACAAATTGTCAAAACCTGCGTCCTATATATGGTTGCGTCTTATAATTAGGTGTGTCTTATATGCATCAAAATACAGTAATTATTCAATTATAATATTTTAAAAACATCATCCTGAATTCCAGCAACAATATCTAGAGAGAGAAAATAGTGAAAGGAACTCCTTTTCAGATATATGAACTTAAAATTAAGTTTATAATTAAAATATACATTAAAGGATTAAATGATTAAGTAATTATAATTTTTATAATCGTACATAATAGATCACCCATTCCATGACAACCATTATTGCACTTAACATTTGAGTGTGACTTACATCTTCAGAGGCTATGTGAACTACATCAACAGCCGTTGGATCTTCTTCCCAAGGAAGTTCACCAGTTGGATCTTGCAAAAAGTTTACCATTGACTAGGGGTGGAGAGAAATGTATGTCATAAAATAAGTTAGTTATAACTTGTTTATTTTTTTTTTTAAATAAAAAAAAGTTTTGAGTAAGATTAGTGGATGTAAAGAGGAGGAATAAGAAAAATACCTACCTTCACTGCAAGTTTCCTATCATAATCTTTGTTATATTCTCCATCTCTGTAAAAAAGGGTAAACAAGAAACTATTTTAAGGAAATACTTTTTAGTACTAATTTCATCCCATATATCATGACTTTATACTTGATCATAACTATCTTATAAACTATGGGTCTCCTCAAAAAGATTTTTTAATATTTAAATCTAGCTTTTAAGTAAAAAAATAATGTTCATAATAAATGCAGAGAGTAAATAAAACAATATTGGTTTCCAACATTTGAACATGAGGGAAAAAAATAAAAGAAAATTGGAAGGGGGAAAAACTTGACAATTAACATCCTTAAACATGTCAAAAACATGTCGGTGCATCAATGTATCCACAAAATGGAGGTACTTTAACAACTGAAACAGTTATGTTGCTATAATACTTGCTTGTAATGGCGCAGATCAAACTCCGTTGGTGAAACCTTCAGCTGTTTGCAAACTTTTTTATCATCACTGGAAATATTTTTTAAACATTTTCATTAAAAAATTACCTTTTAAGAATTATAGAATGAGATAATCACTGATACATAATTATGGACAAGTAAATTCGGCTGAAAAATGAGTGTCAAGTGCTAAATCTGATTTTTAAATATACATGTTGAGCTAGTGATGTAACTTCAAAGTTAATTTAGAGAAATCTGTAAGCAATACTTTTTTTAAATAAATAATCAAATTAAATTAAAATATTTGTATATTGATAAATACAGATCTTTTTATTTTCTCTACATACCCACAGTTGATGTATGCTAAAGTTGCTTTGCCTTTCATTTCTTCAGCCACTTGCTCAAAAAGTTGCATTACTTTGGCAGTAGCTTTCTCTGAAAGAACAGACATGGTTTTAGTACTTTTCATTAAGTGCCCTGGTGACAAAGCTTTTTATGGACAATAAATCTAAACTATCATACATTTATATCATACATTTATAAATATCTTGAATATAATCTATCATACATTTATAGAGATCTTGAATCTTATCTATCATACATTTATAGAGATCTTGAATCTAATCTATCATACTTTTATATCATACATTTCTAGAGATCTTGAATCTTATCTCAAGTATTGATTTGAACAATAAAATGACAATCTGAGGCAATCATTGACAATGCATTGAATCTGATCGTTGCTTTGACCATTGCAAGAATGCAGAAGCATGTAGATGCAAGGAACAATTAATCCAAGGGAAAGCAGTCAAAATGTATAATTCTTAGATTAAACTTAAGTTAGCATACTGAATCAGTCTTGAGATTGAAAGGCAACACTTTACTTGTCTTTAAAAATTTATTTTTAACATTTTTTTTTTTAATTCTCATGTTTTATGGATTTTTATTTTGGTATATTGTCAAATATCTTTACTTCATAAAGAGGACAATGTAAAACTAACTTTACAGTTCAGCTTATAATTTAAAATGCAAAACTTGTTCAAATTAAATTTAACTCATTACACAGACATACCAACCAAGCATCTTCGTCAGGTTATGAAAAAGAAATGCAAAAATACTCTAACAATATGTATTTGAATTCTAACCTGACTGAGCACAAATAACCAACAAGTTGGTTTTTGTTCGAAGCAGTTTTTTAAACTCTTTGACATCATCCACTCTAATGATGAGAGATTTGCGATTTTTATTATTCTGTGCATTTGACTTGTATGGAATCAAAAGCTGTAGGAGAATAAAACAATTATTTTTCTTTCTTGTCTTTAAATATTAACTGACCATCAAAAAATAAGATAAATGTGCAAGTGTTTCATAAACTGATTCGTTCAATGCCTGCACATCACATGCAGACCAGCATCTGTAATGATTATTTGATATATAAAATTCCTTTTAAAACTTACACAAATTTATGTGGTCATGATAACCCTTCCTGTCCTCTTCATTTAAACAAACATGGACCTTTTTTTTTAATCTTTTGCCACCGATCATCATTTTGTTGTGTTCCTGGATAACGCCAACTGGATGGTTGGGGTATTCTACTCCAGGTTAACCTCATCACCATGAATTGCATACCTGCCTCACTTGCTGACATGTCCATTAGACTCAGCAAACCACATCTAAGCCAGCTGCTGCTGTTTAACATTTACTCTAAATGCTTTTATACCGTTTAAGTACCTTAGTGGCTCTTATTTTCTTTCCCAAGGTTACTGTGAATAATCTTTTATTTCCTGACTAATTAATAAATATATACATAGTAAATTTATAATAAAATTAAAACATTTTTCATGTAAATTTCTAATTTTATAAATATGAATATAGTGATGCATATCCATCCGTAAGCTCAATTTATCTAAGATGACATTTTGGAAATTTCAAACTTTTTTCAATCAAATGGCTTTCATTAAAGATAAATAAAACAATATGGACTTGTTACTGGAACACATCTCATTTGCATGCATTTGCACAATTATTGGTTATCTTTTATTATGAGTATGGGATGTTATATAACATGATTGAAATAACATAAATAATGATTTTTTAAGTAAGGATGTTAAACATTAATCATATTTTGGTTAAAATTGATAATTGGTTGTTGATTTTAACAAAAGTATATGCAAATTATTTTTATAAAAAGATTTTAAGATCCAATTATTTTTATTATTTAATTTTCATGACAAAAATTATTTTTTTTAAATAATGTAAAAGTAAGGTATTTGCTTATAATAATTCACGTCTACAATACTACATAATGAATTGGGGTCAGCTGATGTAATTAACTGGTGGGGACTGGAGCATTCTTTGGGGGGAAAAGAGAATAGAGATCATTAATTAAAACATAAGAGACTTTTGCTTAGAATTATTCTAAACTTTAAGTAAAGACAATCTCCACTCAAGATCATAAGGGGAAATTCAAGAGAGACAACCAATGATGATAATTGTTAAAATTGTAAGGTGTGGTGCTGGAGAATGCTTGACAGTTAAGGCTTAGCCTTGGTCATGTTTTTAAAATCCAAATAAGATCACTTACAGAAAGTTACTAAACCAGACAGTCCAGAGAAATTAAAACCACTAAAGATCCATAGAAATCAGGTACAAAACAATAGAATAGAGAAAAATCTTTGGATTTTGACCTTAGGTTTGAAAGCAGGAAACCCCAAGAAGTGAATCAATAAATAAATGAAAATTATTGAATGTGGTAACCATGACTAATAAAAATTCAAGACCCTAAGCCCAAGAATATCTTTCCTTTTTTGCCCACACCATTGTATTGTAAAGGTAAGCTCCATAATTAAAACAATTTGGTTACCATGAAAATGTAAACAAAGAAAAAACTTTAAAAAATACTGAAGAGCTCTCCTTTCAAATTCCATTTATCAAATGATACATACATTAAACTATAGAGACTATAATATTCCTATCATTCGATCATGGAATTCTTTGTAATAGTACTTATAAGAACTTATAACTCTAACACTGTATAATTTTATTATTATAAGTTTTTGAAATAAAAGTTTGCAGATGATAAGCTGATAAGTTTATTAAATTAGCAAATAATAATAATGATAATAATTAGTGGTCTTTTATAGCGCGGTACCCCAGCCTAGGGCTGGGCTCACTGCGCTGTACATAAAAATCAAAAGAGACATAATCATGACATTAAAATAAAATACAATTATGAAATAAAGAACAGCATGAATCCCAGGACTTTTACAAGGCAAACCATGGACGGCAGCCAATAAGATCATTTATCGGTCAGAGGAGGGGAATCAGTCAGGGCAAATGACAAATGTTTCAGTTATTTTGTTTAGGACGAAACAGGACAATATTCAATATATGTAACAATGGTAAACGCAAAGAGATGAAGCCATGAAGTATCACACGGCCGCCATCTTGGTTGCCGCAACCCGTGAACTTTTACGAGTTAGTCATGGCAACCAAGATGGCGGCCGTGTAAAAATTAAATGATATTATAATTACCCAACCAAAGAAATTTTAAAATGATAATTAACCAATAAGAATTTAATTAAAACATGCCATGTCATATTAAGGAAAATTTGACTCTATTAACAACAAAAAAAGGGGGAATGAATCCAAAACAGAAACTTAACAAAAACACGTAAATAACATTATGGTCATGGCGACATCACTTTGCATAAGCCATAAGCCTTAATATCTCTTTGCATTATTAGCCATAACAATTTAATGAACTGAACGTATCAATTTAATAGTTAATTATATACTATAAATTACTCTAGGCTTTAGGTCTAGCTTGATTAGGGTGACCAAACATCCAGTGAAAACAGGATTGTCCCGTTTTTTCACGATCATGTGACCCAAAACATTCTCTCGGGATGCCTGAATGTCTCATTTCTAAAACCACACACATTTTCAAATCACTAAATCTAAAACAAAAACTTCCTAATTTTATAAAATAACTTCAAGTAATATTTAGGCTAGCAGTGTAGCCAGTGCCAGTAGTGATGTGGGCTTGCATGATGGCTGCACTGTTCCCCCTCCACCACTCTGCCGATGCGACGCTGCAAAATTATTGCTTTTGTTTATGATATGCCTCAGAGTTAAAATTAAATTTAAAAAGTGAAGGTAACTTTAAGAAGATTTCTAGGTCAAAAAATAGTTAAAATGAGCATATTTCAATAAACATTTCCGGTGGAGGCCCCCTCCCCATCCTTAGCTGGAGGGTTATCCCCCCCCCCAACAACCCTCCTTGGAGTTTGGGGGCCCTAAGCAAGGAGCGTAGGTTTGGGGCGCCGCAAGGGGGGGGGGGGGGGGGCCCGGGGGGGGGGGGGGGGGGGGTCCGGGGGTGGAGCTCCCTCGAGCTGAGGAGAAAACGCAACCCACCACAGTGGCATCTCCATTCTGCCTTCATCAATGTTTCCTCTTTCCCATTGCCACCGCCAAGCCCCCGATTTCCTGTCTGCCACTCCCAAAGCTCCTCCCTGCTGCTTCCCTTCCCCTGCCTCCGAATTCAACTAAGAATGATAAACCAAAAAAAACAAAAAACCAGAGGATCGAGGGCGCCTCGGGGGCCCCCTCACGTTCGGGGCCCTACGCGGATGCGTAGTCATCGTATGCCTAAGAACGGGCCTGTTGGGTGCGTCCCATTTTTTCCAGTTCATAAATTGGTCACCCTAAGCCAGAGTCTAGTCTTACAGTTACAGTCAGTATAAATTATAAATAACAAATAAAATTCTAATTCAGTATATCATCATATCAGTAGGTAAATTATATATAATTTTTAAAAAACGTTTCATGATCTCTAAACTTTCCAGACCGTTATTCTTAATTAAACTGATCATTTATAAATAAAAAGATGTCTTGCATTAAATAAACTTACAAGCAAAATAACAACACTTAGCACCAGAATTGTTGATCGACTCGTAGGCGCCGCCATGTTCGTGCCACGTTCGTTTTTATTTCTTCCGGGTCATCTATCCAGCGTATATCATTTTTATTTTTTTATTTTAATAACCAGTTAATGATTTTATCAACATTAGCTAACAATCCATATTTCCTACGCGATAGGCTACTGCTGTATCTCAAACAAGTCAACCGCGACGTTAATATCAAGAAACAACACCGGCTTCGTGTTTGTTACACTACACCCGTGACCCCTCCCACATTCCACACCAACTGTACCCAAACTAAAGTCAAAGGCGTTGCGAGTGTAAAGCACGGCACGTGCCAAGGGTGCCACTTGGGGGGGGAACCAGGTTTGGTGTCATCCAGTGTTTTAAACTCATGGTGTCCCCCCCCCCCCACTTCGGATTCCAATGGTCTTTCTCCGAGTCTACTTGATCTGGTGACACCCTGCTCTAGTGGCAACCTAATGTTGTCCTGATCTGACGCAACCTGCTCTTGCAGCAACCAGCTCTGATGGCATCCTTCTCTTGCAGCAACCAACTCTGGTGGCAACCCGTTCTTGCAGCAACCAACTCTGACGGCAACCTGCTCTTGCAGCAATTAACTCTGATGGCATCCTGCTCTTGAAGCAACTAACTGATGGCATCCTTCTCTTGCAGCAACCAACTCTGATGGCAACCTGTTCTTGCAGCAACCAACTCTGACGGCAACCTGTTCTTGCAACAATTAACTCTGATGGCATCCTGCTCTAGTGGCAACCTGATGTTGTCCTGATCTGACGCAACCTGCTCTTGCAGCAACCAGCTCTGATGGCATCCTTCTCTTGCAGCAACCAACTCTGATGGCAACCTGTTCTTGCAGCAACCAACTCTGACGGCAACCTGCTCTTGCAACAATTAACTCTGATGGCATCCTGCTCTTGCAGCAACCAACTCTGACGGCAACCTGCTCTTGCAACAATTAACTCTGATGGCATCCTGCTCTTGCAGCAACCAACTCTGATGGCATCCTGCTCATGTGACTGAGTTCTGCTATGAAACCGACTCTAGAAAACTCGGTCGAATTTAAAATGTTCTATTTCCTGTCTCTCAAACCCCCCCCCCCCCCCCCCCCCCCCCCCCCCCGTGAGCATGCGGATGAAGACAGATGGTGGGCAGGGGTGGACTGGGCCGCCGGGAAGATTCCCGATCGGCCGCTAGGACCGGTGATATAATAAAAATAAAAGTCATGACGATAGGGCCGCTTTGATTTTTTCCCGGGCCGCTTGAACTCCCCAGTCCACCCCTGATGGTGGGGTAGGTTTTGTTTCGTTAAAATAAAACTGACAATAATGCTAATATAAAAATGACCTTGATCGATTCTTACAAAGACTGATTTTTTTTTCTTTTTGGTGATATTGTACCTTACTAGTACCACTGTTTTTAATTATTTACTTTTTAAATGTACTGCTTCAGTAAAAGATACTATGGGGGGTTTGGGGTCAAGCGATATCACCCCCTGACATAAACTTGGAGCTACGTGGAGATAGGGGTGGCTGGCTGACTAGGAACAGGTCACACTCTATACAAATAATTATATCAGGTTCGTAACAAACATCACGTCATGTTTAACTTAGTTTGAATGTTGGCTTCTTCTTCTACATATTAAGGGCCCACGATCAATTTATTGAGCATTTTGGCTCCTATGCATGTAGAGGGGATTTGCAATGTTTCTGTGCCTGGTGTTTATGTGGATATTTCACTGATTGCAAAGTGCTACTTTGTGAGGGAATCAAGTTTTTTGACAGAGGCGCAAATTTTTTTTAGCTCCTTGCGTGTACACCTTTTTGTCAGTGCGTCCTCGCTACGCCTCTGATTGTAGTCTTTTGTCACATTTAAATAGTTCCGTCCAGGGCAGCGTGAAACTGGTTAAGGGGGGGGGGGGGGGGTGGAATAGCCCGGGCGGCTAACGTGAGGGAGGGGCCAATATCATGTTTAGATAGGACCTCTGTAGTGAATGACATGATAAAATGCCATGTACTCCACAAAGACAAGAAGACAAGATGTGCCAAAATCGTCATTTTTATTGTTCGCTCCGAGTGGCACTTTTTTAAAAATATATTTTGGCGGGCGACGATTTCAGGTAGTGGCGTAACAACGCCTTGGCACTGGGGCAGTTGCCAAGGGCGCCGGCCTACGCCAGTTCAAAAGGGTGCCACTAAATCTCAAAATTTTTAAATTGCTATCTAAACAAAAGGGCGCCAAAAATAAATTAGCCAAGGGTGTCAAAAACCCAGTTACGCTCCTGATTTCAGGCTTCGTCCCGGGCGCCGCTTTTCCACGAACAGCCCTGGCCCGCCAATGATCCTCTGCAGACAGGGAGTGGTGACTTTAGGGAGGGGCGGAATGCCGGAGGGGTTGGGGGGACACTGGGGTCACTTTCTTTTCTTCTTTTTTAATAGGTAAAAATAACTATCCAGAGTGCCTAGCATGTTTTCACTGTAGGCCTCCTACACTCCAAAATCACTCTCACTAGTCTCACTCTCACTAGTCTCACTCTCACTAGTCTTACTCTCACTCTCAGCTCTTATTTACTAAAAATGCCGGCTATAGCAATTTTTTCTGTGGTGTGAGATCGTCGTATTGTGCACAATGACTAACATCCAATATTTTAAAAAAATGAACAGCTAATTATTACTGGCACCCAATTGATTAGTACTGACGCCCCTTACCCCCCCCCCCGCACTGCCCAGTCCACCCACCTCTGACCAGGGGCGTCATGTCAGGTTTTTTTCACGGGAGGCCGAAACCAAATCTTGGTGGCTTGTAAAGTTGTTTAATACCGGAGGCGCCACGGTACATAGCAATTGAAATAAAACCTGCAAATTAAGGGGGTGGTGCAAAGGTCCCACTCTGCCATACCCTAATGACGTCCCTGCCACTGACCTCCAGCTAAACGAATCCACACAAAAGTAATCAAAGGTAAAATTTTATTATAAACTAAGAGAACCGTAATTATGGAGAAGGCAACCACCCAAGGTATTAAGCAAATAATTTTATATATATTTATATATCTTACAGTGGCGTACCCCGGCTAGGTGACGCCCAGTGGCGAACTCTCAAATTCCCATCTCCTACAGACACACACACACATCATCAATAAAATGTTTTATATACACACATATAATATAAATTACAATAGTTATACATATAATGTAAGAGTTCTCATCTGTGACCTTAAACTCTCTGTCACACCTGCTACCCTGACTTTACCCTCTCTGTCACACCTGCTACCCTGACTTTACCCTCTCTGTCACACCTGCTACCCTGACTTGACCCTCTCTGTCACACCCGCTACCCTGACTTTACCCTCTCTGTCACACCTGGTACCCTGACCCTTTCATCTTTGTCACACCTTTTACCCTGACCTTAACGTCTCTATCACCCTTAGATATATTTCACATCTATTACCTCTGATCCTTTCATATCTCTCTGTCAACCCTATTACCCTGACCTTCTCCTCTGTGTCACACCCATTACACTGACGTATTCCTTCTGTCACACCTATTACCTCTGACGCTTTGATCTATGTCACATTTATTACCTCTGATCCTTTCATATCTCTCTGACACAACTATTACCCTGACCTTCTCCTCTCTGTCACAACCATTACCCTGACCTTCTCCTCTCTGTCACACCCATTACCCTGACCTTCTCCTCTCTGTCACACCCATTACCCTGACCTTCTCCTCTCTGTCACACCCATTACCCTGACCTTAACTTATCCGTCACACCTACTAGCCTGACCTTATCCTCTCTGTCGCACTCAATCCCGTGGCCTCACCCCCCCCCCCCCCCCCAAACTTATTTAAACTTCAAAAACCACTCATGGCTGAGTTAAACCTAATACGCGAAGATATAATTTAACAGTGACGTTAGCCTTATTGTAGCCTTATTGTAGGTAGCCTTATTGTAGCCTTATCTTAGAAACTTTTGGGGGTCCGAGCTGTATCCCCCCACCTACCCTTGTGGCTGACATGGCTAAATATGGAATTTTCATTTCTCCATTAATAACTCCACTAATATAACGGCCGTATTTTCACCGGTATATAAATTTTAACATTTGACAAATTGAAGTGGCTAATATACTAATAACTTATCCATGTTAAAATACAGTTGAGTTGAGTTCCAACAGTTATAAAGTTATATATATATATATATATATATATTTATTATTTATATTTTTATTTATTTATATTTCCGTTTCTTTTGTGACCAAGGTAAACGGTACTACACAGGCGCAGCTTCAGTCAGGTGTTAGGAAATCCCAGAGGCTATCAGTGAAAACTCCAAACACCCGGCACACATCATACAGACTCGCAGTGCTTTAAAAAAAAATATAATATAACAGCCGTCGATTTATAGAGCCGCACAAGGAACAAAGAATCGGCAGGGATGAAACGAACACCCCCCACTTATTTGAAGCTTGGAACATTCTCAACAACGCGTACCGAGCTGTGTATTTGGACACACACACGGCCTAATTTCAAGCAAGCGAGCTCGCCCTACTAAATACAACAGATACAGGCGAGGCGGTCTCGATGGCCAAAACCCTCTATCCTTTAGCCGAGACGGGAAAAGTGAAAGAATCCCGTGTGCTGCTTCCAAATCTCTCCCACCACTTTAAACAAAACCAACAAAAAAAAACAAAAAAACCCAGCACAACGTCCTTCACAGTCATATGGTTATATAACTAAATTTTAAAATTGTTAATTAATAATTTCACATTCGCACCTATCAAGACAATAATCAAGACAGGTCACAGCGATCACACACCTCGGCTCAATACATCACTAAACCAAATAAATGTTCTCTTTTCTCTAACACCCCCCAGCTTTGAGATGCGGTTTGTTTTTAAAATGAATTACATCCTCCCCGCAATTACGTATTTAACCATGTTTCTATTTTTAAAACAATAAAAGAAAATGAAACGTCAATACATTTAAATGTTTGTAACGGCGTAGACTAAAATATTCTTGTGATAGGAACAGGCGAACTGGCGGCATTGTTTGCTATGCTTCGTGACGTCACTACTTCTGCCACATGCGCTCAACCCTGTACACTCGGAGGGTCTGATTCCCAGCCCAAGCAATCCTTCTTTCTTCTCACCTAGGGACGTCCAAACGGACGAGGATTTCTAAAAAAACTATAAGGTTTGTCTTAGTTTTCGGCAAAATACGCGAAAAGCTTAGCTTAATTTCACCATTCGTAAACAAAAGGGGGAGGGGGGGAGTGGTGGTGGTGGTGGT